TTTTTTCATTTCTTTCAGTTGTTATTTCTATTCTTTTTCTTAAGAATTATTAGCTTTTATTTTCCAGTCCTGCCATTTTTCTAATTCTCATCTCATTCTATATATACTTGTATTAATATCTTCAATTTGTATCTCTACTCAGTGAAAAATGAAACCTCGAGAAATTATTTCTAGTGTTTGGTTGGATTAGGGAAGAAGTGTAGGATAATTATGGTAAGGATTTAAGTTATATACACAGATAGTGTATAATTTATTGGATTATAGTAGGTTACAATTTATTCTAGATTACCATCAATGCTTATTATATGCTTGTCTAGCAAGCAGTGTTAGGCATCATCAACGCTCCGGTGGGATTTTGGGTCGTGAAAAGTTGGTAGTAGAAGTCTTGCGGATCGGTACGTATCTTCGAGAAGCTATAAGGCTTTAGGAAACTTTCCCTTTCTTGATTCTTTATCGTGCGACTTTATCTCGGGTTGAAGCCTATATCTTCAGTTCGGTGTAGTCGATATCAGTTCGGCACCGGCGAGTTGTGATGATGATACAGATGTTGTGCGGGATGTTTTTCCCGTGTTATGAGAGCGGACTACTATTGCCGCTTGCGAAGGGGTTGCCGTCTATTGCAGCCCCAGTGTTGGTATTGGCCATGGGTTTGGGGCCTTATACAGTGTATTGCAATGATTCACACGTTGGTCTTGACGCGGTGTTTGTGCAGAATGGTAAGGTGACTGCTTAAACTTGTAGCAGTAGCAGCCCCATGGTTCACGGTTTGGAGTTTGGCATTTGTTCCAGCGGAGGAGAGGCATTGGGCTATGGATGTTTAGGCTTTGGTTGATAGAGTTGTGAGATTGGGTATTTCTGAGTTTGGTAGAGCCTGTGTTGTTTTGTTGCCAAATTTTAAGGTTGCGGAGATTAATTCCCCATGTATTAAGGAGCTTGGTTATTGAGCCAGGAACAGACTTAGAGGTAATTACTCGAAGAAGCACACGCTAGTAGGAAAAATCTTTTCGGATGAAGTCTAAGATAGAATCTGCCTTAAAAAATATCTTGTTACACCAAAGAGCAAGCAAAACTATGCAGATAAAATTTATCTTCTGGAATGAGTTAATTGTCCTCAAAACATCTCATATTCAGGCGCAACCTAAAAGCAAGTAGGATCTTTTCGGATGAAGTAAGAAAACTGAAACTAATAAATGTTATATGATGTGCAGGTTGAAGTCTTAGTTTACTTATATTCTATATCTACTATAATCGAATATAGTATCTACGTCAGTTTGTGGATATAGTCTCGCCAAAGGGAATTCTCGTAAGGAGGCTAATCTTGAACTGTCCAACAACAACAACAACAACAACCAAAAAAAAACCAGTATTACCCCACATAGTGGGGGAACTGTCCAAGTGTTATGTAATTAATTATTAATTGCAAAGATGTGACACACACTTTAAACGTCCCAAAATTGAAAGTAGTGTTTGTGTTGTTTTCCTTTCTGGTTGATTTTCAAAGTTGTTTATATGCACTGAGATGCGAACAAAATTACAAACAATATCTTCTTTGCTCCAAATATTAGCAATGAATGAGCTTCCGATACTTTCAAGGACCATTCTAGTTCTTCCATTTCGAATTAACCATAGCATTTTTTGTGTTCCATCTCTATAGGTGCTGAATATCTAGCTGTCCGACTGCATTGTAAAATGCAGAGCATAGTCTAAGACTGAACAATGTTTTATGCGTGTGGCCTGTATATACTTCAAGTAGCGCTTATATTTGAATATTCTAATAGTTAATCATGTTTTAATTGTGATTAGCAAGAAAAATAGTTGATTGATGCTCTAATAAATAATAGTTTTGACCATCATTCTTCCATTTTCAGTGAAGTTTTAAGGACCTGATAGTTTTTTAACATTTCTAACATCTGGTAATCAATTATCTTTTACAAAATCCTTACGATAATGTTACCAGAATGTAAAAGAACTATTTGCATAACCAAAAATAGAATTGCTAAATTACTTATTTTGTTAACTGAGATTGATATTCTGCTTGAATTTTTGCTTTTAAAACAAAAGGTTGGAATGAAGCTCTCAATAGTGGCTTTGAAGTAATATTTTTTACTTGATAATATCAAGTTTGATTTGGAACTTCATGGATGTAATTTCTTTGTGTGAATTAATCTGTAGGGTGGCGATTTGAGATACTGCCAAAAGTGCTCCCTTCATAAGCCTCCACGTGCTCATCATTGTCGTATATGTAATAGATGTGTACTACGAATGGTATGCCTAGTCTATGTTTCATTTATGTCTTCTCTTGATGTACTGGATATTGAGTTAAAAGTGTTTCATGTTGCATATAAGGATCATCACTGCGTGTGGATGAATAATTGTGTGGGCCACGCGAACTACAAGATCTTCTTCATCTTTGTTATGTATGCTGCTGTTGCTTGCATATATTCCCTGGTAAGTTGGCATTTTGGCACTCTTTGTACTGTATATAATCTTGGGACGTTATGACTATCTCTTGTTTCTTACATACGTTCTATCTTCTGTTGTTGCTGACATCTTTCATTGCATGTTATTATGTACAAATGGCTTATCAAGCATAAATTGAAGATTACGCCTTTGTTTTCTCCCCCAACTTTTAACAAGCTTATTGTCATTCAGGTTTTGCTTGTTGGTAGCATAACTTTAGACTCTCCAAAGGATGATGAGGAAAGTGAAGGCTCTTACAGAGTTGTATATGTAATTTCCATGAATGATTTTTCTTTCTTTCTTGATCTTCCTTTCCCCAATTTGATCAAGTTTTATCCCTGTTAATAGATCATTTCGGGGCTTATACTAGTCCCTCTAAGTTTGGCGCTGAGCTTTTTTCTGGGTTGGCATTTTTACCTGATTTTGCAAAACAAGACAACAATTGAGGTCTGTTAACTACAATGTCATAGACTAGTCAATTCTTTACAGTGGCATGTTATATTTACAAGTACTAATAATGCTATTCACACTCTGCAGTACCAAGAAGGCGTGAGAGCTATGTGTGTTGCTGAAAAGGGAGGTTATGTCTATTCACATCCATATGATCTTGGTGCATATGAGAATTTGATATCAGTAAGAGATCATTCCTCTTTCTTTGTCTCTTTCCACACGGTTCTTCTCTCTTCTCTCATGATAACCTTCAACTTTCCCTTTTTATCGTCATATCAATCTTTCTTGTTTTGCTATAGAATATCAGTCGAGGTACACGTACTTTATTGCCTTGATATTTAATTTCTATCGAATTTGTTTTCCTCGACAATTCAGGTTCTAGGTCCAAATGTCCTTTGCTGGCCATTCCCCTCCGCAAGACATATTGGTTCTGGCCTTCGTTTCCGGACGGGATTTGATAATGTACCTGGGACAGCAGCATCAAAATGAACGTTTCTGAAACATCCAGCAACAAGATTTTAAGTATTTGATTGCCAAAGGAGCATGGGGGAGCTGCGCAAGTCTAGCTTTATCTTGTAAAGTAGCTCTACTCTTGGTGTAAAGGAGCTAAGAAGAGCCAGATTACGGATTGCTAAAATATACAACACAGAAGCGGTTTTCAAGTTTTGTTTTCTGTTGATTCTGAGAGATGTCCGGTCCCCCATTGGCAGTCATACTATAGTCGAGGCTACGAGAGAATTGAAGCAATTGCACATAGGATACTGACATTGTTCATAGTTTGGGTTATAGTGCTCATTTAGTCATGTACAAAAGGAAGCTCCCTTTCTGAGTTAATTTAGAGCATTCTGATGTAGCTCAATTGTTGTAATACATGCAACTACGGCCGAGTAAGGTTAACAACTTTTTGGAGGAATATCGTAGGACGGATTCTGCTTTTGCTTTCCAGCATAATTGGAAATGACTAATGAACCAAATCATTGAAATTTCATCGGGATATAATTTCATTGAAAAATTGATAGTATATGGGATTTAAGCTATTTTACCTCTAGCGCATGGGTTTTCCTAATTTATATTTCCTTTATACGCTTTTTATTTTGTTAAATATAAGTGTATAGTTTTCTTGTTTGGCTAAAAGTGATTTTTTTAAAGTTAATATATGGGATTTAAGCTATTTTACCTCTAGCGCATGGGTTTTCCTAATTTATATTTCCTTTATACGCTTTTTATTTTGTTAAATATAAGTGTATAATTTTCTTGTTTGGCTAAAAGTGATTTTTTTAAAGTTAATGTGTTTGGGCAAGCTTTACGGAGGAAAAAAGTGTGTTTGAGCAGAAACAGTATTTGAGAAGCAGAAAAAAGTAGTTTCTTAAAAGTATTTTTTTGAAAATCTTAGAAATTCTTTTTAAAAGCTTGGTTAAATATTGCTCAAAAGTAATTTTAAAATTAATTAGCTAAACACAAATTATTTCTTACTAATAGTGCTTTTTTGAAAAATTAAGCTGATTTTAGAAACTTGACAAACAGGCTATAACCATATTATATCGAATTAATAGAGTCCTTAACAAGCAAATTATAGGTAAAAATAGCACGGTGTAGCCAGTTTTCGGACCGGTCATTCAAAAATAGCCGGCATTTACCAAGTCAATGAAAAATAGCCATTATTTTGCTGCAACAGAGACCGGTCCAGCATAATATACTGGAGTTCGGTGCACCTGTGTATGAACTTCCAGCATATTATGCTGGAACTCCAACACACGGAAAGTTCCAGCATAATATACTGGAGATTCGAGCACTTGTGTATGAACTTCCAGCATATTATACTGGACCGGTATACTTGCTGGAACTCCAGTATATTATGCTGGAGTTCTAGTGTATAATATGCTGGAGTTCAAGTATACTTATGCTGGAACTCCAGCATAATATACTGGCGTATTTTTCGGGTTTTGAACAGTGTTTTTGCTCAAATTTATCTTTACATGAAAAATTGCTAAATTTCGATTACTTTTAAAACTGGACTATTTTTGAACAACCACTTGTAAATCTGCCTATTTTTAAATTTCACCCAAATTATAGCTCCGATAGCAATTGGTTCTCACCACAATTTACACTGCCTGCACACAGCTAATCAAGAAACTCGTACCAAATGCAATCAAAACCTCTCCATCAATGGCGCTACCTTTGTCCCTCGCCACCAGCTGCAATTGGAAACCCTTATCTTCAGTAAATTCCAATTTCAGTTTCCCAACTTCGTCATCTTACATGGCGCAGCAGTCAAATGTTTTCTTTCCATTGAGAAAAGTACGTTCCTTTTCCCAACTCCACCTCTTACTTCTCAATTCTCAATTAACCGTAGTTTGACTTTCCTCTTCTTTTCTTGTAGGAATACAGGCGGCAGAATCGGGGCCTATGTATCTTTAGCGGGTCGGATTCCGGCGAGAGCAGCTCTCAAGGTATTTAGCAGTCCCTCCATTCCAGTTCATGTGACGTACTTTGACTCGAAAAAGGCAAACTTTTGAAACTTTATTAACATTAATTATTTCCAAATATATAAATGTGTCATTCTTTCTGGTATGGACTAATAAGAAATAATATCACATAAACTGGAACAGAGGGAGTATAGCCACATTTTTAAAAATATACCTTAAATTAAGATGTTCTCTTACCTTAGTTTGATCATGGTTAAGTTTCTTGCTTGCTTTTGTTATTCAGATGATGAAGAAGATAGTTTGGGGGTCAAAGCTGCATTATCAATGCTCAAGTTCTATAAAAGTAAGTTGTTGGTATGTTTTAGCTAAAATTTGACATTTTAGTTCTCCTGATTCTGTTGAGCTATTTTGATTTTCTTAACTTTATATACTATAAAGACCAGGAGGACATGTGTAACCATTGACTATTAAGCAGGGGAAATCTCACCAATAATGCCAAAAAGTTGTCGCTATGTACCAACATGCAGCGAATACTCCATGATCGCTTACAAGAAATATGGTGTTGTTAAAGGGACAATCTTGACAGCGTGGCGTCTTTGTCGCTGTAACCCTCTAGGTAAAATGATGTTTCATAATGTCTTAAAATTCTGAGGTCACTCTGAATCTTTACAGGAGCTATTCTTAGCTTTGAGTGAGATACTATTTGTTTTGTTGATAAATCTTAGAGTGATATCTTAGTATGTCGCTCGTCGTGTATTTTCAAATATGACAGGAGGATCTGGCTTTGATCCCCCAAGATGGTTCGGCGAGGAAAGTCCACCACTGGAATGATACTTGGTATCAGATATAAATACAGGTATATTGCTTTTGGTAATGCAAACTCAGGAAGAAAAAATACATAACCATTGTTTATGGTATTCAGTTATGCAGTCAAAGTAGCATATTTCTTTAGCTGATATATAGATAAAATGTATTTATTGTTTTCTTGATGCAGTTCAGCTCTGTCTTTTAATAGCTTGTATTCTAGTTGGTTTTAAGTGTGAGCAAAAAGTCTGTTAAAGATGAAGGTTTGTCCAATTTGTATAGAATGTGAGTCTCCGGTATTTTTAGAGGGGTAGTACTAAGCATTAGAACAGCACATCTAAACCAAATCTGCAGCAGCATACATTTGAAAGTTGTCTACTTCTGTCACTTGGAGATTCATACACCAAAGTTTAAATTCATCATTGTAAAAAATCTCCTGATAAAGAAATGAAACTGCATTTTAAGAATTATTCCTGATTTGCTTCAGAAAAGTTAGCGAATGTCATACTTTTACTTATAACATAATGTCCCCAAGTTCTTATGCTCTTTGTGTGCCTAATATTCCAGCAATGTTATTGGGAATTGTGGTACACATCCATTTTCATATGGCCGATTTTCACAATTACTTCTATACAATAGAGTGGCGGGACTTTGAGATCAAATGTGATGACCCAATTAATGTGGACATGAAACTTTTAAACTGGGTGTGCAAATAGAATCCTAGTCAAAGTTAGCTTCAATTGGAGTTAAAGCTATGCTTGAGACTATCAACAAGGAGATATTGTATTTGGTCCCCCTAACTTGTGATACCCTAGAAACGCTTTTAGCCCTGAATGTACTTGAAGTGGCACATTTTATCCTATTTCACAAGGACCAAAAGCGCAAAACTCTTTTCTTTCGGCTGCATATGAGGTGACTTGAGTCACTTTTGCTGTGTCTAATATCTCGATTTAGATATTAATTCAATGTTGAGATCAATTGGACCAGAAAATTGAAGTTTAAATGACCCCTTTACACTTGGTTTCTGGTAAGACTAATCTATTCTCACAAGCTAATGATTGAGTTTCTTAGTCTCAAGTGTTTCCCTAATGCTTGCTTAGGTCACTAGTTATTCATAACTACGTCTTTTCTAGCTCATTAGTTATTGGTACCATAAGATGCAACCCTTGAAAACTTTCTGAAGTCTTGTAAGAAGAATTATTGGTGTAATCTCAAATCTGGAGGTTATTCTCGGTCAAATTTTCGTTGAAGTGAACAGAAATAACAGTGATTGATCTTGCATTTCCCATGTAATTGAAGAGCTCTGCTCTGTTCAACCAGTATTCTATAGCTAAATGAAATGAACTTTGCGATGAAGTTGCTCTTTGCTGTCCAAGCTAAAAGCTAGAAAGTGTTAAATATATTATTGTACCATCTCATACCCACATCTAAGTTTGATGATTTTACTATATGTCTGAGTGTTGAACTATCTTGTGAGCCATGGTTAAGAAAGCTCATGTAGAGACATGTTTTGTACTAGGTGTTTACACCTAACCAATCGATTTAATCTTAGGACCATATCACTTAACTATGACTTAAATGGTTAAGTGATAAATGTATATATGAAAAATACGTCTTGCATTTTTTTGATTAGATGCACACCAAGTGTGAATAAGTTTTTACCCATATACAAGTGATAAGTACTCAACTTTTTGATGATAACAACCACTATGGAGATGATGGCTATGGGGTTTGTGGAGAGATTGTGAATATGAAGATACTTATGCTTCTAACAATGACTAGAAGATCACGATGCTTTAAGGTATGATTCTTCTACGTTCTCTTCTTGTGGTCAACATAATAATTGAGAAATTGATCATGAGCATGATGATGATGATGATTAGGAAACTATTACAGAATATTCTTGTTGGCCTTCTTATTTACTTTTCTTCTTTTAACGAAGACAAGTTTCATGCAAATTGCAAAGAGGGGAGGACGCTTGAGTTACCCAAAGTTATTTAGAAACAAGACTGAACGGCTTGGGGAAATTTCACTTTAAAAGAATATTCTAGAGAATCAATTTTGTAAGGTTTCACCCACCTGTGCTTTCTCTAGAATATTCTTTTAGATTGAAAATCTTAGAAACCTTGAACTTCTTTTTAAAGTTTCTACCAATAATTGATAAATTAAAATTTCAATTGTTGAATGATTTGCTTAAACAAGCTTACTTAATAGACTTAAAATTGCTTAAGTACAGAACATCAATTAACCGTGTCATAAAACAACCACGGTAAGTACATAAGCTAATAATTCCACGTGCTCATTCACTATAAAGGTACAATTTATGACAAATACCCTTTGTATGTATTACTGTGGTTGTTTTGTGGCACACGATAAATTAATGTTCTATCTTTAAGCATTTTAAATCTATTAATTTAGCAAATCATTCAGCAAGGCGTTAGCCAACTAGAGTTTTAACTTATCAAGCAATTGGTATTGTCTAATTATGTTAATTTAATTGCTCATTGATACGTAAGTATTTCTTCCATAACTTACTGGTCAATATAGATCTTTCACTCTGTCAAATAGAGAAACCTTAAAAAGAAGTTCAATATTTCTGAGTTATTTATTATAAAAGAATATTCTAGAGAAAGAGGTGAGACCTTAAAAAATTGATTCTCTAGGATAATCTTTGTGAAATTTCCGCAAGTCATTCTGTTTTGTTGTCTCTAGGTGAGTTTGGGTACCTCAAGAGCCCCCCTCCCCCAACCCACCATTGCAGCTTACAGGGTGCTTGTCTTCGTTAAAAGAAAAAAAAATTAAGAATATTCCTAGCGGTTCATTATCAAGCACACAATTACTTTTTCCATTAATATGTTCATCACAAGAGAGTATATAGAAGAATTATACCTTGAAGCATCACCATCTTCATTGTGATTGTTAGAAGCATTAGTGTTCTTTATACTCGCATTCTTCTCCACCATCTCATAGTCATTTTCATAGTAATTGTCATCATCAAGAAGTTGTTTACTTATCACTTAAATATGATTAAAATACCCATCCACATTTGGTGTTCACATCTAATCAATAAATGCAAAGTATATTTTTCATATACACATTTATCACTTAACTATAGTCAATAGATATGTGTTTTTACTTCAACTTTTAACTGCTAACATTAAATAGCTTGATATTGAACACCTAGTACGGAAACATATCTCTCCATGACATAAGTATTTGTTCCATCATTTCTTGGTCAGTAAAAATCTTTCATTTTGTCAGAAGGAGAAACCTTAAAAAGAAGTTCAAGGTTTCTGAGATTTTTACTCTAAAAGAACATTCTAGAAAAAGATCATGTCTTCTTTGTTTTTAGAGGGGTATTATTAAGCATTAGGGAAGCACATCCAGACCAATCCTGCAGCAGACCACAATTGCAAATTATTTACTTTTGTTAGTTGGTGTATACACCAAAGTTTAACTTCACTATTGTAATAGAATGGCACATCCAGAAAAGTAACTCCTGATAAAGCAGTGAAACTGCATTTTCAGAACTATTCCTGATTTGCTTCAGTATAGTAGCAAACATCATACTTCTACTATGCAGCATAATGTGTCAACTCCTGTGGTGAAGGCTGGACTTAAATGGTGAGGAATGGAGCACCGCTACAATATATGGGTTTGCTAGATTTTTTTTTTCCCATTAATGGTGAAGGCGCGCCACACTAGCGAGCCTTCTTCTTGTAATATTAACGCCTCCAAACTGACGGACCGTTAAGTGTAATTTGAGAAGAAGGCACGCTGACTAATCGCACCTTCGGTGTAAATTATAAATCAACGGAAGGTTTTATTAGTAAATGCGTCTTCCTTGCAATTTTAATTTACACAGAAGGCTCAATGTTCTAATGTGCCTTCAGTTGTAATTAAAGACGCTGATTTGAAACAATTCAGCTTTATTAAAGGCGTTTTCGTTGACTGCGCCTTCAGTGTTTATACTAGAGGTGCGCTTGCTGACAGCGCCTTCAGTGCAAATATTGAAAGTGTGCGCTTTAAATGCGCTTTCCTTGTAACTGTTAAACTCTCCTCCTTTCTTCTCCATTTCAGTCGAAATCCTCCATTTTCAACCAAAAAATCCTTCAAGTTTCACCGGAAATAACCCTATATCGGCCCCCCAAAAAAAAGAAATCACACTATTTTCGGAACAACTAGTAGCAGGGCGGTTATTGTTCAAGTAAGTTTTATTCCTCCCAAAAAAAAATTTGTCCTAAATTTTAAATAGATTCTTGTTAAATTTTAAATCGCGCGTCAAAATTCATCATATGCCTTAATCAATCAGGTCCCCTCAAAAAATCTTGCAATGACTCACTATCAACAATAGGAATTTCTATTTATCGATCAATACCCTGTGTGGTCTGATATGGACACCTACTAGAGATAACAAGCGTTACCTCGTTAGGGTTGGTTTTCATCCTAATATGCAAGTTCCTAACTCGTCACTCATACTCAACATTCAGCGAAAGTTTCACAATGGAACGAGTACCACAATTATATCTAATTGTGTCAATTTCATAAATTATCTCACTGTCCCGGTATAGCACAACCCTTACACGTTGAACAGTTGACATTTTAAAATCTACAGAAAGTAGCAATTATAATCAATAAATATTACCGACATTTGGCAATTAGCTTACAAACTATGAAAATAATATTAACCTTTTAACAAACTTTGGTATATTCAAACACACCATACAAAGCATGAAATAGCATCGGTTATATATAGAATCCAGATGCATGTATTCTACCAAATGTTTTCCAACAAAAGGCGCATTCAATACGCAAACCTTACATTTTTCACAGAATGCGCAATCTGATAATGAGTCTTCCGTAAAGATGTAGCTTCAGAGATTTGTCAAATCAATGTCAGCCGGTTGAATATAATTACAACTAAAGGCACGTTAGCACATTGAGCCTTCTTAGTAAATTAAAATTGCAAGGAAGGCGCATTTGTTAATAAAACCTTCAATTGATTTTAAAATTTACGCGTGCGATTAGCGCGCCTTCTTCTCAAATTACACTTAACGGACCATCAGGTTGGGGGAGTTAATATTACCAGAAAAAGGCTCGCTAGTGTAGCGCGCCTTCACCATTTATATAAAAAAAAATTAGGACAAACCCATATATTGTAGTGGTGCTCCATTCCTCGCCATTTAAATCAAGCCTTCTCCTCTGCTCTTTGTGTGGAAGAATTGACTTAAATGGTGAGGATGGAGCACCACTATAATATATGGGTTTTTCAGAATTTTTTTTTACATTAATGGTGAAGGCGCGCTACACTAACGAGTCTTTTTCTTGTAATATTGATGCCCCAAACCTGACGGTCCGTTAAGTATAATTTGAGAAGAAGGCGCGCTGACTAATCGCACCTTCAGTGTAAATTTAAAATCAACGGAAGGTTTTATTAACACACGCGTCTTCCTTGCATTTTTAATTTACACGGA